AAAAGGGACTGTGATAAGACCATGCCCCATTGGGGGAGGAAGTGCTTTCTTTCTCTCTTTGGTGAGCACACATGTTTTGAGGTAATTAAAGAAAAAAATTCTTTAAAAATTAAAGTTGTTAGTTAAATCCTAAACATTACTCTTCAGAAAGTTTGAATGTAAAAAGATGAAAAGTTGTTCTAACACTTGGAAAATACTATTCAGAAGCAAACCAGTTAAAGCAAAAGCATTATGAGCAGTAAAGAGAGTCTCAGCCTAATGATAAATGACTGAATTTATCAGGTAGATACAAGGACAAACTGGTATGCATACAATAACACAGACCCAAAGTATATAAAGCAAAAATGCCACAGCTACCAATTGAATTCTTTTTTTTTTTTTAATGATGAATGCAAATGCACACATGTACTAGAGAGAAAGAGAGAGAGAAAGGGACAGAGAGAGAGAAAGAGAGAGTGTGTTCAACAGGGCCTGGTCACACCACAATCCCCTTTCCTCCATTTCTCTTCCTGTTAGGCTCCTGGGCATGCCTACACATATACCTGGAGTATGCATGTGCTCAGCATGTTTTTCGAGCCTCTAGGGCTAGGATTTGAACCTCACTGGGGGATGGGGAGAATCAAGGATTTTAAAAAAATGATGTACGTGAATGTACTCACTGGAAAGAAATGAAAGAGAGAGAGATCATGCCCCCAGAGAAGATGGCCATGCCACAATCCTTTCTCTTCTCAGGATTTTGGGCATGTATACACATGTACCCGGTATGCTTCTCAACTTGCTAGGTCTGGGACTTGAACTGTGTAGTCAGTCATGTGGGATCCAGCTGTCTTCACCACCATGCCACTGTCTGGCCCATATTAGGATATTTTAACTCACCTTTTTCATTAATTGAATTGGGTCAAGCAGATGAAAATTCAGTGCAAGATGTCAACAACACAATCACCATACTGGCTCAAAGACAGATTTTAAGAATACCACAGTTCCAAGAGTGGTAGAATATATATTCTTTGCAAATCCATACAAAACTTTTTTCTTTCTTTCTTTCCTTTTTTTTTTTTTTTTGAGAGTTTTTTTTTTTTTTTTTTTTTTTTTTATTGGCACCGGGTGCAGAGATTTTTGCTATAGGGCACGTGTGCTCATCAGAAACAGACAGAAAGACAAAAAGTGAGAAATCACCCCCCCTGGGGGGGATGGCACGCCATAATCCCTTCTCTCCTATTCTCCTCTCGGGATCTTGGGCATGCACACACACACACACCCAGCATGAGATGAGTTTAAGCCACCAGGTCCTAGACTCGAACCACAGTCCAGCAACATAGCCATCACACCAATTGCTGGTCCTTATACAAAACATTTAAAATAAATCTCAAAATATTTTAAAAGATGAACATCTTAATAGACCACATTCTTTGTGAATGGTATAGACCATGTTCTTTAGCTATGAAGCCCCTGGAAATGTTAATATCAATGGTTGAATAGCAAATATTACTGAACTATGATCTTGGGAGGACCTGATACTAGTTTGAAAACTGTCATTGGCATACTTCTTGATCTGTCATATAGGAAGTTCTGTATGAAGTGTTACTAAAATTACACCACTGCCTCCCATAAACATCAAGATAAACAGATACTAAATTCTTTTCCTAGTAGTTGTTAACAAATTGTGCCTGCCAATGGTGTCCATCTGTATTTCTACCCTTGGGGCTGATCTTTCCAGTAATATTAGAAGAGTCAAATGTTTTCATTGTGGTCAGTCTAAAAACTCGCTTAGAAAGATTTGTTTTGTGCATGAAGAATTATTTCCTCTCCATATATTTAATGTGCGTTGAACAAATAACACTTTAATATCATGCATAGGTATGGCTGTTACTTGAATAAATCCCCGCAATAATGAAGAAAACAATCATCTTAATATTTCCTCTCCCTAAACTAAAACTTCTTGATGTAGCTCACCCAGGTGGGGCTCCTTTCTTTGGAGAACAACTAATTATAGCAAAAGAAGAAGTTTGAGAAATTCAGTAACACATGGAGCAGAAGTGGTTTTCAGTTTGCAGATTTTTTTTTCTTTTTTTTTTGGAGAGGTTTTCGCTATAGGGCGCCTGCGCTCACCAGACAGACAGAGAAAGACATAGAGACAGAAAACGAGAAATCACCCCCCAGGGGGGATGGTCACGCCACAATCCCTTCTCCTCCATTCTCCTCTTGGGATCTTGGGCACGCACACACACGCACCCGGCATGAGTTTTAAGCCGCCGGGTCCGGGACACGAACCGCGGTCAACAATATGGGAGTCCAGCAACATGGAAGTTCTGTATGAAGTGTTACTAAAATTACACCACTGCCTCCCATAAACATCAAGATAAACAGATACTAAATTCTTTTCCTAGTAGTTGTTAACAAATTGTGCCTGCCAATGGTGTCCATCTGTATTTCTACCCTTGGGGCTGATCTTTCCAGTAATATTAGAAGAGTCAAATGTTTTCATTGTGGTCAGTCTAAAAACTCGCTTAGAAAGATTTGTTTTGTGCATGAAGAATTATTTCCTCTCCATATATTTAATGTGCGTTGAACAAATAACACTTTAATATCATGCATAGGTATGGCTGTTACTTGAATAAATCCCCGCAATAATGAAGAAAACAATCATCTTAATATTTCCTCTCCCTAAACTAAAACTTCTTGATGTAGCTCACCCAGGTGGGGCTCCTTTCTTTGGAGAACAACTAATTATAGCAAAAGAAGAAGTTTGAGAAATTCAGTAACACATGGAGCAGAAGTGGTTTTCAGTTTGCAGATTTTTTTTTCTTTTTTTTTTGGAGAGGTTTTCGCTATAGGGCGCCTGCGCTCACCAGACAGACAGAGAAAGACATAGAGACAGAAAACGAGAAATCACCCCCCAGGGGGGATGGTCACGCCACAATCCCTTCTCCTCCATTCTCCTCTTGGGATCTTGGGCACGCACACACACGCACCCGGCATGAGTTTTAAGCCGCCGGGTCCGGGACACGAACCGCGGTCAACAATATGGGAGTCCAGCAACATAGCCATTACGCTAACTGCTAGTTCCCAGTTTGCAGATTTTTTTTGGTCAAGGCTTTGAACTATGGTAGCTTCTTAAGTAGAAAAAGATTCACGTGAGGAAATACATGTATGCGGTATAGTTTGCCTCATGATGAAACTGAAATTTAGAATAATTTCTCAAAAGATAATAATAAATTCTCAAAAGTGCTCACATCCATAGCACTTTGTAACTTGAACAGCACACTGTTCCTATGACATACAAGTCATAATTCCCATTTTGCAAATGTAGGAACTGAGAAATTGAATGTAAGTGCCTCCCTGCCAACTGAGCTACGACACGTTATGCTAAGCAATGTTTTGTCTCTGTTATTGCCTGGCCTTGTTTTTGATTAATAGGTTCATGGCTATGCAGTATATCTCATTTAATACAAGAATATATCAAAAGCTTCATGGGAAAAGTAGAATTAAAGTCTAAGTTTATTTTGATGTCAAGAATTTAAGAAGTCCTTGCATTTTTTTTCATAGTATACATTTGTTATATTACGCTAACTGCTAGTTCCCAGTTTGCAGATTTTTTTTGGTCAAGGCTTTGAACTATGGTCGCTTCTTAAGTAGAAAAAGATTCACGTGAGGAAATACATGTATGCGGTATAGTTTGCCTCATGATGAAACTGAAATTTAGAATAATTTCTCAAAAGATAATAATAAATTCTCAAAAGTGCTCACATCCATAGCACTTTGTAACTTGAACAGCACACTGTTCCTATGACATACAAGTCATAATTCCCATTTTGCAAACGTAGGAACTTGAAATTGAATGTAAGTGCCTCCCTGCCAACTGAGCTACGACACGTTATGCTAAGCAATGTTTTGTCTCTGTTATTGCCTGGCCTTGTTTTTGATTAATAGGTTCATGGCTATGCAGTATATCTCATTTAATACAAGAATATATCAAAAGCTTCATGGGAAAAGTAGAATTAAAGTCTAAGTTTATTTTGATGTCAAGAATTTAAGAAGTCCTTGCATTTTTTTTCATAGTATACATTTGTTATGAACCTTGTGAAGGGCTCTCGTCTATCTTGGGTGACCAAGTAACACCCAACTTGGGCAAGAAAGTTTAAGATCGTTGTCATTTAGTTTTACTTTGGTTTCTCTTATTCTAAGTTAAACTTCCACAACTCCTTGTCTGACTTTCATGTTTCATGACTCACAGTGCATTCACCACATTTGGTTTCCTTTCATCCTCTTATCTTGTGCATGAATAAAGTCAGAAGCGGCCCTCATTTGGATGAAAACCACTGCAGCCGTGCTCAAGGGTGGTGATGTTAGTTTCCAGGAGGCCCTTCTGCTCAAGTGTCTGAGTGACAGCACAGCCCTGGCAGTCTTTCCAAAGTCCATGCAGGACTGTTCCTGTATGTCTTCTCAGTAGATCTTAAAGAGGAGGCAGCGAAGCAGGGAGAGCAGTAGAAGTTAATCAAGAAGAAATGAGTAAGCGTTACACAGACCTGGGCTGAGTTTCAGCTTTGTCAGCTTTGTTGTCACAGACTGGTGTAGCTTGGCCTCAGTTTCTTCATCTGTAAAATCCGGTGAAAGTATCTGTCACACAGTTGCAGCAAGTACTAACCGAGGAGATGCACTTGAGGCTTCACACGTGCCATGATGCTCCGTGGACGGCTCCTCCCACCCCCTCCAGCGGTGCTCCCTGCAAGCGCCCCTAGACTGCCAGCCTGCCAGCCTTGCCCCCGAAGTGAATGAGCCCAAAAGTTAGTCTGGGTTGCTTCAGCTGGTGGTGTAGGGGCGTCTGTCTCCCACATGTGCGGGCAGTCGGAGCATTTTCGCTTTGCTCCTTGCCAGGGCTATTTAGCAGGTGCACATGTGTGAACATTCCTGGATCCAGAGGGGGCGGCTGGAATTTGAGCGAGCAGCAAGCAGGCCACAGCTGGAGTGCGGCAGGAGCCAGGAACATCCGCGTGAGCTCCCAGTCTGCAGTTCCAAAGCAACCCAACCCGGTCCCGTGCGCACGTGATGGGGACACTGCCGGTAGAGGTGCTTGGCCAGGTACTTGGCTGTTTGGGGGAGGTCGTCCTGGCGCCCTGGAGCCTGGGCTGCACCCAGAGAGCAGGCGGACGGTCGAGAACCGGGACACCAGGGCACCTTGTCCTGGCTCGGAGCAGAGCGTGCGCGGGCCACCCGGGCGGGCACCTGCGTCCCCTCGCCCCCGGCCGCCGGGCCCCGCCCGGGTGTCCTTGGCAGGCTC